CTCTGTGACCTCCACCATCAAGCCCCCCCCCTAAAAAAACCAACCCCCCCAAAAAAACGTAATTTTACGCCACAGGCCAAGCCTCCTTCTATCTCTCCGTGAGGATTTACACCAGAAAAAAAATGCTCCCTATTGAGGCAGGAAATGGAGGGTTCTGGTTGAGGGGGGTCTGTTGATTTTTGGGGTATGTGGGCAGCCAACATCCAACGACGTAGCAATGAGTCATACTGTGAGATAGCAAGTGCTCACCAATCAATATTTTATTGATCAGCCTCCATGTACAACCCTTGATTGTTCGTATCGAACGTGGCAGGAAAATGTTGCGTTCAAGTTGACGTGTTTCGATCCTGGATGTGGTTCCGTTGGTTCTAGATCTGGATTTTCACCCTCTCGCTTCGATCAGTTTGTTCTGTGTTTGTATTTTTGCACTTTCCCATGTTGAACTTCAGAGAAGAACGTGCCCTGTCTAATCTATAACCGTATTTTGACTGTGTGTGTTATATCTCTCAATTCTGTATCTACATTTGGATTTCGTCAATGTGGAACTGCCGTATCTATGGATGTGTTCTGTATCTGCAGTATGTATGAAGTTACTTTAGGATCAACTCTTGTGCTGTCACTATCAAGATTTGGTGTTGTTTTTTTTTTTTTTGTTTCAGTCTTGTGTTGTGTTGTCACATCGATCTAGTCTCGATCCGGATTTGTGAATTTGTGCTCGCATGAATCAAAACTGCTCCATTTATTCAATACTTGTGCAGCTATATTTGGACAATTATAAAGTGTATTGTCTATCTATTGAATATCTTATGTTCTGAGTTGAAAGGATGCGCTGATGTTTTTTTTTTTCTTGTGAAAGGAGTTTTTTTTGTGCAAGATGATTATTATCTTTTTGGGGGTGATTTTTTTTTTTTCTATTCCGTGGGATGATTATTCTTCAGGCGGACTGCAATTTGTCTGTCTGTGATTGCAGCGCGTAATTACGTCGCATATTGTTCACCGCCATCAGGTAAAATGACACATGGGGGTCTATTATTATTCTGCACCAGCTCAATGGAACCCTCTTATACAGACACCCTCACCACCACCCCCCGGACCTTTCGAAATGACACATCCTCCTCATGGCGCCTGCGTCGTTGATGGTGTGAATAGAACATTTGCGGAAAGGACGAGGCTGCTCCCGTGACGCTTCAGGTTCAGACCCCCCCAAAAATCCGAGTCATTAAAATGTGTCATCATCGCTGCCATTATTAATGACCAAAAAGCTGAGGAGCAAACCAGGAGTTTCAAATTCATTTCCTGTTCCGATGAGATTAACCTATCGGGCTCTATTTTGGTGACTGGCGCAAATCCGGCGTACCGCAGGGACTAAATCTGCGCAGAGGCATGTTAGA